AATTTTTATATTTGTATATATACAGGGTTAGTAAAAAGTGTGGAGACCCCCTGTTAATTTTTTAACAGCCCTTACTAGAAAAACTAAACTTTGCACACCTTTATGGAATGTTATGAAGTACTTTTTGGGCATAACCGCCGCTTGGTGTACATCCCCAAAATGGGGGATTTTGGGAGAAACTTTAAATTTTCATATGGTAAGATCCATTGAAAGACCCCTCATTTTGAAGGTCCTAGTAAAAGAAAACCAACAATGCAAACTAGAGGTATCTACCTTAATCCAGTAAAAAATGGCAGCCCATTTGAAATTCCCAGAAGTTAAATTCAACTTACAGCTTTCCAAGGTGTGGAGAACCCCTGTAAATTTTGTAATGGCTCACACTAGGTAAAATAATAGCAACGAAGCAAATATACTTATGTTATGAGAATTTGTTATTTTATTAGTTGTAACACTATAAAAAACAAAATATCTTATTAGTTAACTTTCAGTCACTTACTGTAGATATTTATCAGAGTTTATTATACAATTCAGGTAAAAAATGAAATATTATTCTATTATTAGGCAAACAGTTGGAGGGTTGGTGTGATCAAAAACCCACTTGCAAGCTAAAATAACTTCATGTGTGGTTCTAGGCTGTTTGCAGTGCATAAACATGTTTTTGGTTGCAGAAATATCTTTCAGCAAACAATAATGTCTAATTTAAAACTATTACAAACCATTAACATATATTAAATTTATAAAAATTGGGCTTTAGATCACCTCTTAATTAACGACAAAAATAACATCTTTTGAAATTTGTTATCTTTATATGTACCTTTGATACAGGCTTTGACTATTGATACAAAGTACAGGTTTCCAGTTAGGCTTGAAGTTAAGTAAGTATTCCCGTTGCATTGAAACTGAACAAAACTAGTAGTTAGCTATAAAAGTAGCTCATTGTAAGAACCGTTGTAGAGCAACAACTCCGTGATGACTAACATAGCTCAGTAAACTTGTTTTGTAAAAGAACTTTAAAACTTTTCAAATGGTTTCAACATTTAGTATTTCAGTAAACGACAAAGTCTGACTTTAATGATGTTCTGTACTCGGATATGAGGCAAGTTACACTTCTAAACGCAACTCGTAACAGGATGTGGAGTTTTGGATTGTATTTGTCTGAATTTAGACAACAATGGATTACGAATTAAAATATTTTGTAGGAAAAAAGGTGATAACTAAAATAACAGACATATTCACAGATAAATATTTTATAAAAAAAATCAAAATATAAGAGTAGTTTCCGTAGTTCATTAAAAAGATTATAATGGTAAGCTGTATATTTACAGCCATTTAGGTTCTTCGGAGTTTAACTAATATTCCATGACATATTAGTAATCAAAAATAAAGTTATAGAAGCACGATTTTTTATAATATGTAAGCATATTAACATATTGGTTCCTTTTAAAAAGAATGTTTTTCCAGATCATACTAATATTATAAATGTGAAAGTTTGTGTGTTTGTTTGTTTGCTTGAAGTTCAATCACGCATTAACTACTGGTCGGATTGTGTTGAAATTTGGTATGATGATAGCTCACATCCCCGATTAACATATAGACATATTCTTACCTCAAAACCCCTTTCGGGCTCTGCCCCAGCGGCTCTGGAGTTTCCCATGTTAACCTTATGAGTATTCATATTTAAAAGGAATTAAATAATTTTGCCAGCGGTTTCAACTACACAATTTGTTTCTATGATATTCAATAGCAGTAAAAGGTTATACGGTTTACCAACAGGGTGCAGCACCATTAGTTCTTTATACATTTATAACAACAGCTAATTTGAACCAAGCAGCAACAAAAACCTGAGTGTGAGAACTTTACTTCTTTCTATTGTTTAGGTGAAGTAGTACAACATTATGGCTATGGTAGATGTTCTATATACTATAGTATACCGTAGATTATAGTAAACCAAATTTTCTCAAAATGTGTCCTCTCTTATTTCAAATGCAAAGCACGATTATTTAACTACAATAAGCATTGTATACCAACCCCGTACGAAGGACGGGTACTCAGCTAGTGTTTTCATATTTATCACTGCCTAATTTATCACGGCATCTAATTTAGTATAATTTAGATTTGGATGCTGTACCAAATGAATTATACAGGGTTAATCAAACTAGTAAATCTCTGGTTACGGTACTTCCAGTGTTCAAAAACTATTAAACATATCTTTTGTAATTCCTTGGAGTTGCTTTAGTTAAATAACATTTTATTTCAGCATTTTGGGGCCTACGGTAGTTCTGGAATCAATACTGGAGTCTTCTATAATGTAATGATTGTTACTAAGCGCCAAACAACTCATTTCTGTCTTTCGTTCACACAAACATAAAGACCAATACAAAATGCCTAAATTAAAACATATCTTTATTTTCAAATAACTTCCTTCGTTAGTCATATCACAAAACAGTAAGAATATTGCAGAGAAGGAACTAGAATGCCTTTTGAAGATGTTCACAACAGTCAATCAAGCTAATAATTCAGTTCTTAACGGGTATTTAATTATTGTATAGCTAACTGAGGACATAACTTTTTATTTTAACAAAATCAAAATATCCATCCAAAGTATTTCACAGTGGGCAAATTTAAAAATAAATATTCACAAAATAAAAATATTGCTACTTAGTATTTTTTTCCTCCAACAAAATTGCTCGTGTAATTCAGTTGTAGTTCAGTAGTTCATCTAAAGTAGTTCAGTTAATAAGGGATTTTCTTTAGAGGGTTTCTTGATCGAGATTGTAACTGACAATAATATCATTAAAGAAATTATATTTATTTTAACAATGTTCTTGTTCACATCCAGCCTTGTCTAATTCTGCTGTGTTAATCAATGTGAAGAGATCTGCACAAACTTAAATATAGGAGTACTTATCAAACAATGTATTTTGAGAATTGTTTATGAATCTCTCAATGTGAGGATAGTTTCCATAATCGCTGGTTATCAGCGGTTTGCCCCAATTAAGCAGCTTATTTGATCGATATGTTGAATTTAACGATGACTAATCACGTTATTTACCTTTTACAACATTCTCATTCTCATGGAAAATTAACGTTTCAGCTTGATAACCATTAATTAATATTGCAAACGTTACCATTAACAAACAACGAGCCAGACTGTCATCGTAAGAAGTGCCATATAAGTAAAAAATCGGTTTAAAATGGTAAAATTAATACGAAATAAAATACCCCAGCAATTAGTAAATAAACTACTTCAATATTATGTTAAGTCCAAGCGTAGCATATTTCACAACGAATATTTTATTTAAGCAAAATGCTTATGGGTAGTTTAATAAAGATAACCGGCAAAAAGATTGTATAGGGTAAATCATCTTGTTAAAAATAAAACCCTTGAGTGCCTTCACCGTCCAAGGCAAAGGCCTCTTTGAATGTGTTGTGATGCCATTTAGACCATTCATAGGCCTCAGTGGGTACAACTTTTCAATGACTCTTACACCTAACGCAATACATGGACCACTGGAAGAGGTAGATAGCCATGGGGATAGTCTAGAGATAACCATTAAGAATCGCCAAGAAAGGTTGACCAAGATTCGGGACGTTTGTCATAAGAACATTCGTAAGGGCTACGATCGTCAGGCGTATAAATATTATAATCTGAGACGTAGGGATGCGAACTTTAAGGTAAGATATAGAGAATGGGTTAGACAGCACCCTTTGTGGTCGGCTGCTGATTCGTTTGCAGCCAAATTAGCTACGAAATATGACGGATTGCGAAATAATCGCAAGGACAGGAATAATATAGGCTTGTCGCACACTACGGCAGACCAGCTCAGGCAGATCAGGTCAGACCGCTCAGGTCCGGCAGTTTTCCCACACACTACGTCTGGTCAGTCCGCTCAGCTCAGGCGTTTTTTGAGCGCCAACCTCCGTCAGTAGTCGACAGACAGCGGCATTGGCTGCATGTATGCTTTGTGTCTTCTTGTTCAGTGCGATGCGATTGTGCGATGGGTTCTAGTAGTAGTGATGAAGAAACTGCTATAGTAGCATTAGCACTTGCTGCGGAAGAGGACGAGAAGGCCCAAAAAACCAGGAGAAAAAGGAGGAAATTTTGGGTGCACAGTATTAATGTCGCACGGGATAGTGAGGGAGAGTATCACACTCTTTTCCCAAGATTAAAAAACGACAACGTAAGATTCTTTAGATATTTTCGTATGAGTTACGAAAAGTTTTTGGAGCTGCTACATATTATTGAACCTGAAATAAAAAGGTCCATAATGGTCTTCTTGACTTGCCTCCAGCTAAAGCCCTGGGTGGCTCAAGCATTGTAATTCCCCATGTCATGCTTGCCGATGAGGCGTTTCCCCTGCACATGAATATCATGCGGCCGTTCCCTGGCCCACAACTGATCAATAACACAGAGAACAAGGTATACAATTACAGGCATAGTCGTGGTAGACGCGTGGTGGAGAGTGGTTTTGGAATATTGGCAAAAAAGTTCAGAGTGTACTCCCAGAAACTCCAAGTAAAACCTGATCACGTAGTTATCATAGTTCTAGCAACGACATGTCTTCCACAATTTTTTACGAGGTGACGAGGCAAATCTATGGAGGCCTGGTGAACTGGAACTTAATGAAGAGTTCCACGGATTGCGACCACTAAGAAGGACAGGGGGAAACGCAAAATTATTATAAGAATATAAAAATTGTAAATTTGTACAGATGTATCTGAATGTTTTGTAGAGAATGAAATTAAATGGAGATTATAAGAGGAGAAAAAAAAAATGAACACACTTTTGGGATAGGAGAACAAGCACTGTTTTATTTACTTTTTGATACACAACATGTGTTAGCAATAGAGAATAATTTAATTTGATTAAGAACACATGTTAGTTGCAAGGAAAAGAGATGTACATTAAATAAAACATAGAGTGTTAAATAATATGAATGGTTAAAGTTTACTGAACATACCGGGGGCCTTGAATCCCCAGTGGATTCAACAAAAACAGTTCACGAATCCACAGTTGGCAGGGGAAACACTTTGTGGGCAGATCTTCCGAGGTTGCCACTTGATGTTTTTAAGTCTATCACTCGCACAACCCCATCAGCCCCTGGATGAACTGCTGTAATTCGAGCGAGAGGCCACGAGAGAGGTGGTGAGTCCATATGTACCAGAACAAGGTCACCCACTTCAAGATTTTTTGATTTCCGAGTCCACTTGGTACGTTGTTGCAAGTTGTTTAAGTATTCTAGGTGCCATCTATGCCATATGCGTTGATGAAATGCTTGAACTAGCTGCCATTGCTTGAGACGGTTTTCAGGAACTGTCAGGAGATTAGGTTCAGGTACTGCTGTGAGGGGTGCACCAATCAGGAAGTGTGCGGGAGTCAGTGCTGCGAGATCCGAAGGATCATTTGAAAGAGGTGTCAGTGGTCGGGAATTGAGCATTGCTTCGATTTGGGTCAACAATGTGATGAATTCAATGAGTGTTAAGACTGAGTTTCCCATTACTCGACGGAGATGATGTTTCACATTCTTTACAGACGATTCCCACAATCCTCCTTGATGCGGAGCGGCTGGTGGATTAAAATGAAAATTGATGCCTTTAAGTGAAGAGAATCGTTGAATCTTCCGTTTGGAGTCTTGACAATAAAGAGATTTTCCAACAATCTTGCGTAGGGTAGAGTCAGCACCAATGAAGTTGGACCCACAATCCGAGTAAATGTCGGAAGAATGTCCTCTGCGAGATACAAATCGAGTCATTGCAGCAATGAAAGATTCAGTCGTTAGGTCTGTTACTACTTCCAAATGTACAGCTTTCGTGACGAGGCAGATGAAAGTACAAAAGTATGACTTTATGTGTCTCACTGCCTTGAGGTTGAAGATTTTAACAGTAAAAGGCCCTGCATAATCTATGCCGGTGTGGAGGAAAGGTCGAGCAGGAGTTACACGAGACTGAGGGAGATCAGCCATGAGAGGACACACATTTCTAGGTTTGACTTTGAAACATCTGACACATTTATGGATACGAGAGCGTATGGCACAACGGGCAGACAGTATCCAAACATGTTTGTAAAGTAATGCTTGAGTAAGCTGAGGGCCTGAATGAAGATTGTAGATATGGTAGTGGTCAATGAGAAGATTTACCACATGATGCTTTTTTGGCAGAATAATGGGATGTCGAGCATCTTCAGGAAGTGATGTCTGAGAAAGACGTCCTCCAACACGCAATAATCCAAATGAGTCAATGAAAGGTGAAAGACGTTGTAAACGAGTGGAGCAAAATGATTTCCGTTTGAGGCAGTTGATTTCTTCTGTGAATACTTCTTTTTGTACAAGTTTAAAAATGTGATATTTTGTGTCTTTCAGTTCCTGTGTTGAGATGAAACCTTGGCGTTTTTCAGAACCTTTACAGTTGTGTATGAAACGAAGGACGTAAGCAAAAATCCTAAGAAGTCGTTCCCATGAAGAATATTTAATGAGAAGATTGGTCAGCGTAGATTCAGTGGTAGTTGACACAAGTACAGTTAGAGGAGTGTGTTTTACTTCATCTAATGTTGAGATATCTGTAGGTGAAAAAGTTACATCAGGCCAGTTTGAAGGGGGAAGAGAAAGCCAAGAAGGCCCTGACCACCAAAGGGGGTGAGACACAAGCTCAGTGGCTAGAATACCTCTTGAAGCACAATCAGCAGGGTTTTCCTTGCTAGGGATGTAACGCCAACAGTGATAGGGGACAAGTTCTTGTGTTTGGGCGACTCTGTTAGCCACGAATGTTTTCAGCCTGTAAGATGGAGTTTGAAGCCATGTCAAGGTTACTGAAGAATCACACCACAAATAACATTGGTTGAGTGAAATTAAGGGTTTGAATGAAGAACAACAGAAGTTTACGAGTTGAGCTAATAAGTGGGCAGCGCAGAGTTCTAATCGTGGAAGAGTCACCTTCTTGAGAGGGGCGACTCTAGTTTTAGATAAAACCATACGTGTAGTCACTTCTCCGTTGGGTTGGGAACATCGTACATAGACAACAGCTGAAAACCCACGTTCAGAGGCGTCTGAGAAGCCGTGAAGTTCAACACTAGAATTTGGAGAGATTTTCAATGCTCTAGGGATCTGAATGTCTGCAAGTGCTAGTATCGCTGAGATAAAGTTACTCCAAATTGCACTAAGTTCTGGAGTGAGAGGTTCATCCCATTGTAGACCGGTCGTCCAGAGAAGTTGAATAAAACATTTCGCTGTCATAGTACATGGGCTAAGAAATCCACAAGGATCGTATATTTTAGCGACTAGACTGAGAACGTGACGTTTAGTTAGTGTTTTTGGCGGTAGGTTGAGATGAAATGAAAAATTGTCCGAGTCTGGAGACCAGTGTAGGCCAAGAATTGAGAAATGGGGATCAGGTGTATTTTCAAGAAAGACTGGAGAGTCTTTATGAGTGTCTGGAAGAGACTGAAGAAGCTAAACTTTAACCATTCATATTATTTAACACTCTATGTTTTATTTAATGTACATCTCTTTTCCTTGCAACTAACATGTGTTCTTAATCAAATTAAATTATTCTCTATTGCTAACACATGTTGTGTATCAAAAAGTAAATAAAACAGTGCTTGTTCTCCTATCCCAAAAGTGTGTTCATTTTTTTTCTCCTCTTATAATCTCCATTTAATTTCATTCTCTACAAAACATTCATTGGTCCTTCGAGCCGGATTTTGAATTTCAGTCTTTGGATTCAATTTTCAGAACACTTTCAAGCTATCGAAATAGCTTTATTTTATCATTCAATCTCTTAATGTTTCTCCCCACTCTCACAGTGTCACAAACTCTATCTAATTCTTAGTAAAGTTTCACTCCATCTGTTTTATCCAATATGGCTACCAGATCAATTTCACTCTCAAACTTTAACAAATCAACCCTTCTCATCCAAAATTCTTTTGAAAAGATTCTCAAATCTATACAAGAGCTTGAAACACTTTCCCCCTCAATCTTGTCAGTGATACAAATCAGAACTTTAAACAACTTCTCGAAACAGTTAGAAAAGAAACATGAAGCCTATGAAAATTACCTGGAAAGAGCCTTGGAACATATTTCAGAAGAATTAGACTTGGATGCAGTAAGTGACACTGAAGACAAACTGCGACTGCTATTCGTCGAAGCAAAGTCTCGGATTGAAGCCCTTCTCCAACAGCAGCCACAAGATGTTCCAGAAGAAAATAAGGATTCAACAAGAATTAGTGACATCTCAGCTTCATCATCTGCTCACGTAAGACTCCCAAAACTAGACCTCATCACGTTTGATGGTTCTCCTCTACAGTGGGTAAGTTTCATCAACTTATTTGACACAAGCATCCATCTGAATGAAAGCATTTCAAACGTCACTAAATTTCAATATCTTCTCAGCGTGCTCAAAAATGAACCACTAAATCTCGTAAAAGCTTTCAGTATCACTTCAGCCAATTACTCAATTGCCTATCAGCTCCTCAGAGACAGATACCACAACACCCGAAGGTTAACTACACTTCACCTAAACAAACTGATCGACCTACCGGACATTTCCTCTACCTCAAACAAATGTCTCAGAACGTTCCTCAACTTGTTCTATGAACACACAGAAGCACTTAAAGCTCTTGACTGTGACATTACTTCTAACTCTAACCCTCTGTTGTCCACGATACTCTTACGAAAACTAGACAATGACCTTCTAAAACAACTAGAGGCTTTTAGAATTAATATAAAATGCGAAACACATTCTCTACCAGAAGTAGTCGAAATAGTCAAATTTCTTAATCAAGAGTGTAACCAAATGGAAGACGCTGTGTTACATACTAAGTTTGCTCAAAGTACGAACAACCACTATTCAAATTTTAAACCCAAATCTTTCACATCCTCCAAGCCCTCTTTCATTCAAGCTCAGAAAGTTACAATGGTCTCTACTCCAACTCCATCAAATCAAGACAACTCAAAAAATCCTTTCTCATTTCCCTGCTTTGTCTGCTCATCAACTGGCCACAAGGTTTATGCTTGTCCTAGCTTTCTCTCTCTTTCTTCAAATGAACGTTTTAAAACCGTAAAGGACAACAACAGATGTGTCTCTTGCCTCGGAAAACATGATGTTAAAACATGTAAGTCTAAAGCATCTTGCTTCAAATGCCACAAACGTCATCACACCTTACTTCATTTTGAACATGACAAGACATCTCAAGGTTCGTTGTCAGTGTCAGTTGAACTGGACCATCATTTTTCCAGATCAAGGTAATCATTTTTCCAGATCAAGGTAATAAGTTTACTACTAATTAAGGCCTAGGTTAGGTATCCACTTTCAAACATAGATTCAGTACAAAGTACAGTAGCCTAATACTTTTTAAGCTTGAGAACTTTCCCCTTTCCGTAGTAGCCTATGAAATTTAGGTAGTCTGAAGTGGTGTTTATCTTCTTTATATTTCAGGTTAACTTATCGACTCTTAAATGTAATCTATGTTCACTAGGCCTTAGTTTGTTGAAGATCCATTAAGTAATAAAGGTAAACGTTAAGTTAGGCCTCTAACTTAGAGGCCTAGACTGGGCTATGCTCTAACTTAGCATAGGGACTTAGTTAAATTAGGCAACAAATTAATTTCTAGATAGGCCTTCCTAGGCCATAGCCTAGCATTATGTTTTTAAAATGAGTGGCATCCTTTCAACCGATTTTAACTTAACTTAAAAAAGGAGACAATGGTAAAAAATTTAATCTACTAAGTTAGAGGATCTGAGCAAACAGAGCCGTGCGTATAAGAGGTGGAGGGGGGGTAAGGTAGCTTGCTTTTGTACAAACCATGAAGATGGGATACACACATGTTACATACATGTTTGGAGGGACCAACTAGAATGAAGGCATCTAATGATAACATTAAGTGATGACTAATAAAGTACAATTGCGAAATCAATTTTAGACTAAACAAAATTAAAGCATAATTTCGCGTGGTTACATGTTATAATAGTTAGCACAATAATTATTATTGTCGTTTTTCACGCATGACTAAGCGTCCTGCAGCTGCACCAACAGGTAAAACAAAATTCCTTACCCGAAATATGGTAACCATGGAAACCAAAACTCACCATATTTAAAAGATTAAGTTGAACTGAAAAATCATAAATACCAAAATAATGAATTTTCCTGTCGTGTTTTGCATCTTTATCTACATTGTTTCGACCAGTGGCGTGCCTCACAAAAGACACAAAGTCTACGACTACGAGGCAATGAAAATCGAAAACCAACGACTCATTATACAAAACGTCAGACAGTGGAACCTCCAAGTGATGGCGAAAGTTATTCGAGAGAAGATTCTCACAACTCTGTAATGGTTGGCTATACAGCTCTACTGACTATTGTCATTTAGTTTTTATATTATCACGTGTTAATTGTTATTGTTTACTTCTAGTTGATATATACAAATAAAAATACTTTTATCATGATGGATGCAGAAGATATGATTTCTGAAATTCTTGGAATTGTTATTTCACTTGTATTAGTGGTGATTGCGATTATCCTATTTCGTATTCTTCGTGCTGTACAATTATTATATGGAGAAATGCCAACGCTAAGGTTCCGCCGCCCAACAATAACGGCAACAGAAAGTAATTCAATATATAAACATCGCCAGAGCATAATTTTGCAAGGTATGAGGATCATCCAAGGACTTATTGATGGGTATCTACGTTGATTTATTTTTGACAGTAATGTAAATAAAAATGTTTATAATTTTGTTTTTGTGAATAATTTTTGTTTTTCCACTTTATTACTTACCTGCACCAATTGTTATTTCATCAGGAACAATGTTTGATAAGCAGCAGAGCTGAATTTTACTTATTTCTAGATTTTTTATGTGTTTTTAGGTGAAGAGACGCTTAATAAAGTCCAGTCGTTTCCGTAACAAAATGTTTAAATATAAAGTAATACACAATAAATTAGACTCAGTGGGATCTTAAATCCAAATCTAAAT